TTTCATTGCTATACACACTATAATCTATGTATGCTACAAGCCCCAAAATAATTTGTATAATTATAGTTGTATATAATGTTTTTTAAAGAAGTTCAAAGAAGAGAGCAAGTATATATTTGTGACTTTTGTTATATTATCCTTCTTGTTTACCATGTCTGATTCTCTTCTTTTGTTTTGTGAATTTGAGTTACCATCTGGTTTTATTTCCTTATACAGTTCTGCTCCTCCCTACCTGCTCCGGGCTGCTGGCAAATATACTGTATTTCTACATAGTAGCCCCACCAATACAATTGTACGCATACTGTTTTATATAATTGACTTTTAAATCATCTAAGAAAAAGAAGAAATGTGCATTTATAATATGTTATGATTACATAATTATGTTGGTTAGTATTCTCTGTTTTCTGTGTGGGTGGGTTTGAATTATTCTCTGGGGTCCTTTGGTTTCAGCCTAAAAAATTTCCTTAGGTATTTCTTGTAAGGCAAATGTGCAAGCAACAAAATTTCTTAATTTGCTTATCTGAAAATGTTCTTGTTTCTCTTTATATTTAAAAGATAGTTGTGCTAGATATAGGATTCTTGATTGAAAACTTTTTCTTTGAGCTTTTCGCTGCCTTCTGTTCTAATTTACCTGGTTTCCAGTCATGTAACCTCTACTCCAGTCATATTGCCACCACAGTTATATTTTATAACACAAAATTATACTGAGGTAGTCTCTTATTCAAGATACTTAAACATGTACCTCTTTTCTGCAGAATAAATAGGGCTCTTCCTAGAAAGTCCTAGACCTATGTAATCTCTATGTATTTTGCTTCCCTTGGGCTGCATCTCTCCTTTAGCCTGAACCTTAGTCATAATGAGTGCTTGAGGTTTTCCCCATGATCACAGGCTATTTTGTGCCTCAGTGCTTTTGCTTCAACTGCTCTCTCTGCCTGGAATCCACCCACCTCACCCACCCTCTGCCTAGGAAACTCCCACACAATTCTTAAAATGGAACACAGTCATCACTTCCTCTGAGAATTCTTTCCCCATAGCTTTGCTAGAGTTGGCTGTTTTGGTCCCTAAAACAGTGTTCTATTAGAGCACTTTGGCTCTTAGATTTTGATAATTTATTTACTCTCATCATTGATAACATGAATTGAGTGATTACTATGTGACAGGCAGTTCATACTTTTCTCAAATTTAACACCATAGGGTAGGTACTATTCCTACTTCCATTTTACAGTTGATAACACTGAGAAGTAAAGGTCACTGACTCTCCATCATAAAGAATGATGAAAGTAATGGCATCCCATACTCCCCTGGATATAGCCAGTGCTTTGCTATAGGTAGGTGAGAGAGAATGTTTAACAGGAGAAATTAGCCACAGATGGTGGAAGTAATGTAGAGAAAGAAAAACTGACTGAAGCATTATGCCTGCTGGATAGATAAAAGAGAAAAATAAAAACAAATGTATATGTGAAGAAGCAGCCCCTGTTGGCAGAGTTTAACTGATATGTCACTTGGTAATGTACAATACCATGGCATCAACATGATCAAGCCTCCTTCTGAAGTTCACCGTATGGTATGGTTCTCTGTGTTACTACTACATGACATGACACCTACTGGCCCCAAGTCACCTCTCAATCCTGTACAGAGGAAGTTCTTTAATTATTTTCTCATGTGTTGTACTCACTGAAGCTGGGTCTAAATCCTATAAATTGTAGGAGCTCATAGAGCAATTTTCTGATAATAAGCATATTTTTATTTTGTTTATGTCACAGACTGAACTAGCATCAGGACTAAAGAAGAAGCCAAGATGTGACTAAGGAAAGTAAGAACTAACACACTCTCAGTACAAGTCAAGATAGAAAGATTCTGATTCCATGACTTGAAGCTTGTGGGCGTCTATGTTTTTCAGGATGGTCATGTACTTATATAAAACTTCACCTGTCTCCTTTGCCCTTCCCCTCCAGCTTCCTCCTCTTTTCTGCTTAGAACAGAGATGTATATACTGGCCACCTTACATCAGGAGGCAACCAGGAGAGTGGAAGCCATCTGACAAGAACAAGGGGGCAAAATGTTAGAAGGAATTTGGGCCTCCACTGACCTCAGACCCACAATTTGGCTCTAAGTCTGTTGAACTTCAGACATTTTTACATACATGAAAACCAAATCCTTGTGTGTTTTAGCTATACTTAAATTGCTGTCTATTACCAGCAGCTAACCGCAAAACTAACACTAGACTTCACATGACAACAAGTTGTCATACATGTGAGGCCCTGAAAAGCTTGGTGTGCAGAATTCAGGAGGGGTTATGGCCTTAGTAGGGCTGATGTGACAGTCTTGCATTTGAACTATAGGTTGGGCTATTTGTGCATTAAACAGTGCATGTATTGGAGTGTGTGAGTAGAAGATTCTTACTCCTGAAAGGATTGTCTATACTTTGCCAAAAGCAGTATTCAAAAGGAATTTCTTTTTGACCAATTCTTTGGATTGCTGCCAGGAGGAATACTGAGGTTTAAGCAATCATTTGTAAACTATCGCAGCTTTTACTATGGCAATTATTTAATTACCATATAGACTCCCACTATCACTGAACATTTATTCTTTTTGAGCAGCTATTATACACCATGTACTGTGTTGAGTGTCTGTGTGCACTGTGCCACTTACCACACTGGGAGGGTTAAAAATGCTTACTGTGCTTTACTTTACTAACAAGTAATATGAGCTCCTTGACATTTGGGTTAATGTCCTAGATCAACTTTTTAATGACTCCTTTTATCTAGATTGCTGAAAAGTCCTTCTTAACAGACATTCACAGGGACCCAGCTGGATAGGTACAGGATTATTTCCTCTGGGGGTTCAGACATTAAAATCAGAGACACTCTCCTTCCCCAAACTCCAATATACAGAGAATTTTAAATCTCTACCCTCATCATCTCTATCCTCTTTTGTTAGCTGTGAAGCCTCAAACCAACCTGGGTGGCAGTACATGCTTTACAGAGGGTACTCGAAGGCACAGATTAGTCCAAAGATCAGGGAATAAGTGGAGAAGAGAGCTCACGTGATAGTGGATAATCCCCCCAATGAGAATCAGCCTGTAATATTCTTTGAGAAATTGCCTGAATTATCCTCATGCAAATGTCTTAACACTCCCACATACACGCTTATATGTGCATCCCTCCATCTCATTCCCTGAATATCTATGATGGAATCTTAATATCATCTATATCTCATTTCCCCTAATGGGAATCTCAATACCTATTTCCTGCACATAAGCACTGTGATTATAGCCTCCTTATTTTAAAGACAGCCTTTTACAATACAATCATCACTCAGCAGTTACTAGTGACTCAGCTAATGAATTTCTCGATTATGTTTTAGATAGGAAGGTCTGGCAGAAAAATAACTAGCTTAGTGGTTTGAATGTTGACCTGGAAGTGACAGCTCATGATAGCCCAAGACACTTTGAGCAATGCTTCCAGGGACCTTAGTGGATGAGAAAAGTCAGCAGAGTTCACATTTGTTTGAAATTCTTTTTTAAAAAATAAAAGTTTCATTCTCCTGAAATATATCTGTGCTTCAGTTATATTACTTTCTTAGCTTCAAATTGGGGAAGATAATGAGTCAGGTGGAAGATGACAAAGTGTGCTTTTTATAAGTTTCTTTCTCTCTTTCTTTACTTCTTTCTTTCTTTCCTTCCTTCTTTCTTTTTTTTTGGTATTGAACTCAGGACCTCAAGCTTGCTAGGTATGCCATGGCATCACTGAGCTAAATCCCTGGTCTCTTTCTTCCTTCCCTCCCTCCTTCCCTCCCTCCCTCCCTCCCTCC